TAGCACAGATCAAAATTGATCTGTCATTCACAGTGCTTCGAGGATAGCGATATTTTGCGCATGTCCAAACAAATGTGAAATCAATTGCTTCCAATCGGAATCTCAACGGCCAGCTGACAAAGTTGTGAAATCATTAATTTCAATTCCATATAAAAAAAATTACAAATTCCTGATGGATAGAGTACGAAGTCATTGATATATATTCATGAAATGTTTCCATTAAAAATTCAAATGCAACTGAATGGTGTTTTATGGTCATGTCGACCATATTAACAAACAAACAAATGTCTAATTGGTCATTTTAATTATCTCATTCAAAGGCAAAATATGGACAGAAATTAACCAACTTCTTGAAAACGCTACAGATTTTTTCGGAAAGGACGTCTTTAAGAGTATCTACAATTTCACTTTATTCGCATTAATGTTATCTGCTTTTATGCTGGAGTTACTAGTGGTTCTTCAGGTGGGTTTAAAATCGTGCATTGGCTTATCAAAAAGTAGGTTGGGGACAGGGGTGGCGCCAGGATTTGCCCGACGGGGGGAGGGGGCCGAGCTTCGATTAAGGTTCCGAAAGTGGTCCAGGGCGAAGCCCCCGAAAATGTTAACAATTTAGGGGTTTTAAAGGCTTATTTAATCGATTTTAGAGCCTACTAATATGTAGAAAATACATATAATTTTTTTCCTCCCGACGAATTGTGCTTTTTTATCCCCGACGGGGGTGCCAGCACTCCCCGACGGGCCAGCATCACCCCCCCTATTGCTGGCGCCACCCCTTGTTGGGGAGCATGCTACCCAGTAAAAGGTTGCTCCCCGACGCCACAACTAAACAATTGCTGAGCAACATAATATTAAATTAAAGTAATTGAAAATCAGCGGCATATCACATCAACAGCTCTACGCCAATTCTCCTCCTTGACGCAATGTGTCTGTATGGTCAATTCAATTTGTTTTATTACTGTTTGAGCCATCAAGGGCTATTATCCGACCAAAACAATAAAATATAAAATACAATAAACAAAAAGTAATACGTATGCCTAAAAGGCTATGCATTTTGGGGTAAGGGAATTATTTTCTACAGATGCGATCTTACATAATAATACAATTAATCTAATTTTTTTAGGACAACGATACTGGAACAGGCATCAAACCAAACAGATTCGCACGTGACATTAATGAAATTTCTCCAGAAAACACAAGCGTTTTATCTGTAGCAATTCCGAGTTTAAGAAATCACATCCTATCGTCCTTAAACGCTACAGAAGAAGACGTCAACTCTGACCTTGAATATGAGCTTGATATGTTTCTTGAAGACGTGTTAGATCAGTTATCATGTAATGCAGGCCAAACAGATTTTAACGAACTTGATGAAGGAACTTTAACGTCATGTGTGGAGACAGAGCTGTTTCCAATGGATTGGAATCACCCGACGCTGGTCTCCAAATCACTATATTCCCTTGCGATAATTCTTGCCTTTCTTCGTCTGTCTTCTATCATCGTTATAAATGATGTCATTGGACCGCTTCAGATATCGTTGGGAGGCATGACTACAGACATCATCAGCTTTGGGTGTATATTCTCTGTAGTCTGGCTGGCATTCGCAATCGGAATAAACCAGCTTTTGTTGCCGTTTCAGAAAGTTGAATTATTGATTTGTCAACAGGAAAATGAAGACGATAGTTGCGTTGCAGGACCTTTTAGCACGTGAGAATGAATTTACCTCCGTAGGCCCTAACTATAAACATCGTTATTGGCTCAATGGCCTATATGATATATAGGCTAACGAACCTATCAACTAATTCTTAATTGGTGTACTACTGGGCCAAAATGTATAAAGTCAACATTGTTCGGTTTTACCAAGTTATTTTTTAGTGATGTTTTCTGCTATAACTGTGACACGTCTTGCGAAATTGGTCTAAAGTATAGTTCAAAATATATATTTGTTTGAGAAACTCAGCAAGAAGTTGAAAAAAGCAGACGCAGACATAAATTTTCTC